CCCCTCGAGCCACACCAAGGAAGTCTCAAAAGCAAATGTCTCATCTACCACACAGGCAAGAGCCCCATCTCCCCAGGACAGCCTGTGTGCAACATCTGTTCCCATCCTGCTTTAGGACATAGGACTAAGAAGTGAATTTTGGCCACTGGATCAGGTCCAGGACCCCTGAATTATTCAGCTCAAGTCACAAGGGTTTCACACCCTCCCAGTGTTTCAGTCACACCTTAACCAGGTTTCCACTACAGTACTTGGTCAATTCTCACAGGAACACCTCAGTCACAGACCATTAAATATTTAAGAAGGCATCACACCAAAGATGAAGAAAAAGATCAGTTTATACTCCAGTTTGAAGTGGCCACACCCCCACTGCACTGGCCAGAGCTCCTGATCTTCAAGTCAGAGAAGCTTTTTAATTAGCACAACCTATCAGCAAACATGATTTGGGCTAAAGCCCAACCAGAGAGAGCAGGAAGACTGGGAAAAGCTTGTGTTGGTCAGACATATTAATTACTCCTTCAAGGATGAAGCCTCTGTGCTGCAAAGAAATTCAAATTTGAAACCCCATGTTTTTAAGTGAGATTTTTTTTGCCCTTATTCCTGGAAATGGCAAAGGCTTAGGAAGAACTGAAGCATACACAAGCTTTGGGCCTTTCTCCTTGCATTAAGGAGAGACACAAAGATTTATTTGGTTGAGGCTTTTTAAATTCTTCAGGACTTCCAGCATGAATCATTGGGAAAGCAGGAAATTTTATATTGCACTTTAAAAATCAGTTTATTAATCACTTTATAAAGTGACTGACTAAAACATATTGATAAAAACGGAAGATCAGCATCTCTTTTGAGTATCTTCTACTTGTGCAATCATCTCCTTCACCTGGAAAGAAAAGTTATTAAAGCACATTGGATCAAAGGAGGGTAAAACAAGAGGGCTGAGCATGGACAGGGCTCTGAGCACCCTGCTCTAGTGAAGGTGTCCCTGCTCACAGAGGGGGCTGGACTACATAGCATTTAAAGGTCCTTCCAACCCAAACTACCCTGGGATTCCACAGCCCTAAACTAGGTACAGGCACCTTTCAGAACCTCACATTTCTCCAGTAAAATTGCTCCCTTCAGCAGGCACTGAAAATACTTTTACTTTACCTTGAGGTGGGTCTATCACAGTGTGAACCAGCTCACAGGGGACAAATTGCAGCAAACACTTCTCTACAAGTTTACTTTGCAGGGTAAGGAGCTCCTTGAATTTGACCAAACATCCCCACAAAGGGCAGGCACAAATACAAACACGGGCACTGGCACTGCCCATCCAGTCTACAGAAGTATCCCGAGTCTAAATTTGAATTTTAAGGCTTTGGGGTGACTGGGGCCTTCCAGTGCCTGAAGGAGCTGACAGGAAGGATGGCACCAGACCATGGACAAGGGCTGGAGGGACAGGACACAGGGAATGGCTTCCCACTGCCAGAGGGCAGGGATGGGTGGGATCTTAGGAAAGAACTGTTCCCTGGGAGGGTGGGGAGGCCCTGGCACAGGGTGCCCAGAGCAGCTGTGGCTGCCCCTGGACTCCTGGAAGCCCAAGGTCCAAGCCAGGTTGGATGGGGCATGGAGCAGCCTGGGACAGCAGAAGGTGTCCCTGCCATGGCAGGGATAGAATGGGATGGGCTTCAAGGTCCCTTCCAGATTAAACCATTCCACATTCCCTGATGCACCAATGGCAAACTGGACCAGCAGAGAGCACTGGGGAGTACTGGATGATGATGAGCACCCGAGCTCCCCAGCCATCCTTCACCCAGAGAGGTCAAGGCATGGATGGAAAGCAAAGCTGACAGCTGTGGAAGCAGAAACTGAGAAGGGCAGCATTGTCGTTTTTCCAAAGAAAGTAATTTCTCAACTCAACTCTACTAATAAGGACTAAAAATAGTCCCCCAAAAGAGCTGAGCTGCACTTTCATTCTGTTTCACTCCCAGATGTGAACTAGTCCCCTATCAGCATATATATTTACCATATGAGGAAATCCTGTTTGAACAACTTCAGCTGCTGAACGCTTTCCCCTCCCTAATGAACCACAGATTAAGCATCACTGCAATGGCAGCATTCCCTCTCCCAGTGATATCCTCTGATTATTTTGACTTGATTATTTTGGGAATTTGCCGTTTAAGATAACATTTAGCTAAGCTCACACACTTGGCTTGCCTAATACAACACAGACTCTACAAAACAGCTGAAGCTGGTGTTTCTCAAAAGGCACGAGGTGCAAAGGACTTGCTGTGGGTACTGAAAATGTCCCCACACCCCCACAGCCCATGGTGGAGGTCCAAAAGGGACAGGACCAGGTCACAGATGGGCTCTGATTCCAGACAAACAACTCCTATCCAGAAAATCTTAGTGACCCTGAGCAGCACACGAGGTGAGTGTTGGTGTCACTGTCTCATCACACACCCTGGGCTGTGCTTCGCTGCTCCTTATCTGCCTCACAAATCCTAGATGGATGATGCACAGCCAGCACTGCACTAGACAGTCTGAATTTATGGATGATTAAATCATAAATTTTGCTAAAATTGCCCTCCTTTTCCTCAAGAGTTGCATAGCAGAAGAAATCCTTGCTAACATGATCAGGCCAGTTTACATAACCTGGAAATGAAGGGTTTTATTTTTACAAAGAGTAACTGGATTCTGTCCATCCACAACCCACAATTCCAGAAATCTCAGCAGATCCACTCTCCCAAGTCCTGCTTTGCCCTGAACAGTGCATTCCATTTATTTTTAGCACAGGAGACACCATCCATCCAGGCACTTTTCAAGCTTCATGCGTTGCCCTGCCCTGTTTCCCTGAGCACCTGACTGAAATGTGGGCACAGCTCCGAGCTCTCCAAGGAGACAAAGGTCCCCAGCTCTGCTCTACACAGACACTGGTAACCCTGTGGTACCAGGAAGGTGTTTCACCCAATATCCTGCACCATGCCAATTGCTCTCTCCAATGGGAGGGCCATTCCATCCTTTCCATGCTCCACTTCTGGTCTCAAACCACTAAAAGCAAAGCTCCTGGAAGAACCCTAAACACTGGGTTTGCACACGAGTTGAAACTGGAGGCTGCAAGTTCGTCCCTGGAGTCCACTCAACACTGGAAACCACCACAAAAGTGTTGGAAGTGCTAATCAAATTTCTCCTATGTCCAGTGGTCTCCACGACTAAACATGAAAAAACCAGAAGGCAGCAAAACCTGCTAACACTCAGGAAATTTCCAAAGGATTTGTGCAGTACCTCCTCCAAACAACTGGCACAGGTACATTTAAATCCTGACTGGATTCTCCTACCACCACGTTTTTACATCCCCTCCAAAGAAGTTGGCACCACTGTTGTTATTTTCCATGAAGCCTCCTTGTTTTCTTTGAACTCTCGTCCTGTGATAATTTTTGTAGTGGCCTAAGTTAAGGCAGTTTGCTGGAATCCCAATTTGAGATTCCACAGTCAGGTCTTGCACACAGAGATGTCAGTGTGTTAAAATTAGGCACACAGCTGGAATAAGATGCTCCGTGCTGCCAGGACTCAGGTACAGCACCTGCTCTTGTTTGAACCAACACGGAATAGAACTTTGGTCATAACTGTTCTTCACCTTTCACCTGACTTTAAAGATCTTTATCCTGCATGATACAGGTGGCTCTAGCTCCAGAGAAAGAACGTAAGGCATTGCCTCTGAAATTCCTATGGATGAAGGCAAGAAGTAAAGGATTACACTTGTGTGGTTAAACAGCCTTTACACCACTGCAGAGCCAGGCTCTGGGCTGCTCTTTTGTGAACTAAACACATCTGGACGTTGTTGAATTGTCACTCTGGAAAACCTGAATCACAAATCCCCAAGAGCATAAAGTGATGTGATTCCCTGCATGCCTGAGGAGGCTCGGGAAAAGCCCCTGGACAGGGAGCAGAGCAGGGCCCGGGCCAGCTCCTGGAGGCTGCTCCCTTTGCACAGCACCAAAGCGAAATCCAAAGGGTTTGTGCCCTGGGCTAATCCTTTCTGGGAAACACAGCGAGACGGATCAATCCACACGGCTGAGGAAACTGCAGCTTCTCCGTGGGAAAGTTCCCAGCGCGGTGGAGGAGCACACCCAGGGCTGCGGCCCCAGCTCGGGCGGCGCTTGGCCGCCCCGCGGAGCCGGGAGCTCCAGCACCCGCAGGGCCGGGGCAGCTCCCCGGCCGGGGGACAGCCTGGCTTCGGGCACACGAGCCACACGCAGGGCCCGCCGCTCGCAGCAACCGGGCGGCGCCGTTCTCCGCCAAAGCGGAACCGTTCCCTGTGTAACTCCACATCATTCCCTCTGGAAGCACCGCCCGGGACCGGGACCGGAGATCTGGCGGTGACCGGGCAGCGGGGCCCCGGGCGAGCCCCGGGCCCTGCCGAGCGCCGGGCAGAGCCTCCGCTAGCCCCAGCCCTCCCCGCCAGCGCCCTCAGGCCAGGCCACCCCTCCCTGCGTCCCGGCAGCACCGCCTGGGCCGTCCTTCCCTCCGTCCCCGCCGCCCGGGGGAGGCCGGGCGAGGCCCCCCGGTGCGAGGGGGCGGTGTGGACGTGGGGGCCGGCGCGGGGGCGCCGTGCGGAAGGGCGGGGGCCGCGGCTGGGGGCGCGGGGCCGGCCCGCTCTCACCATGTCGGCTGGGCGGGTGCGCGGGGCGGTAGAACGGCGGCGCCTCCCGGTCCGTCCCTGTCGCTTCGACGCCGCGGCCCGTCCGCTTCCGCCGCCGCCCGGCAGTGAACATCCGGGTCAGCGCCGCCGGCCCCGCCCCCGCGCCGCTCCCCGCCAATCAGCGCGCGGCTCGCCGGCCATCGCCAAGTATGGATGCGCGGCGGCGGGGCGGGAGGGCGGGGCGGAGCGAACCACGCCACCTGCGCGGGGGGGACGGGGCGCACGGCGGCACCAACTGCAGCGCGGGGGTGAGCGCGGCGACCAATCAGAGCCCGGGGGCGGGCCTGGGGGAGGGGCCTGCGGGGGGCGCGCCCGCAGCTCGGCCCCGGCCCTCAGTCGGTGTCGGAGCCCGTGCGCGGGAGCGTCGCTGCTTAAACACCCTTAAACGCACTTGTTTAAGTTGAAATGAAGAGCAGCACGAGGCAGGAGGGTAGCACGGCAAGCGCCGCCCAGAAGAGGCAACGAGCAGCAAACTCGTAACCCTAAAGCTGCGTTTTACACAGGTAAACTGCACTTTACACATGCCTGTAACGTCTGCCAGGGCTAAAGCGATGTGGAAGAATAAGCAGCCTCCAGCTGCTTAAGGCCAGGGATAATTACTAATTATTTTTAAAAGGAAATGATAAATTATTTTAAAAGGAATTATTAATTCTTTCTAAAAGGAAGGTTCGGTGTTGGCTGGCAGGTACCTGCTGGAAGCCGGGCAGATGCTGGCACAGCTGGAGGCATTCAGGGCTCTGGCGGTTGTGCCAGGGAGAACAGGATCACAGATTTGTCCGGGCTCACAGGGACCTCAGGAGACATCTAATCCAACCCCCACCAAGGCAGACTCTCCTGGAGGTGACCTGGAGCAGCATCTCCCAAATCAGGGTATATATACAATAAAACATTCTGTTTTGCTCAGACTGTCCCAAAATAAAGCATTTTTTTCCTATTACTGGAGTAATTCCCATTACAGTGATTTGAGGTAAGACATCCCAATTCCAGATTCCTGACCTGTCCTCAATAAGGGAATCTCAGAGCTACACCTGACAATGATCCCAGGGAAACGTGAGGATTCATTAGGCACCGACAGCTTCCTCTGCTTTTGGAACAGGTCAGGCCGTGTTTCACCCCGGTTTTATTGCCAGGACCCCAAAAATCCTCCATTGGGACTCTGTGCTGCAGACTTGGCCCTGGGGAGCCAAAAGCCCTTCCCTGGGTTTGCTGTAGGCACTGGGAATGCCAACATGGGCTGAAAAAAGGGCTTTCCCTTGGGTGTCACAGACAGGGCAGTCACACAGGGCTTGTCCCTCGGTGTCACAGACACAGGTGTCACACAGGGCTTTCCCTTGGGTGTCACAGACAGGGCAGTCACACAGGGCTTTCCCTTGGGTGTCACAGACAGGGCAGTCACACAGGGCTTTCCCTTGGGTGTCACAGACAGGGCAGTCACACAGGGCTTTCCCTTGGGTGTCACAGACAGGGCAGTCACACAGGGCTTTCCCTTGGGTGTCACAGACAGGGCAGTCACACAGGGCTTTCCCTTGGGTGTCACAGACAGGGCAGTCACACAGGGCTTTCCCTTGGGTGTCACAGACAGGGCAGTCACACAGGGCTTTCCCTTGGGTGTCACAGACAGGGCAGTCACACAGGGCTTTCCCTTGGGTGTCACAGACAGGGCAGTCACACAGGGCTTTCCCTTGGGTGTCACAGACAGGGCAGTCACACAGGGCTTTCCCTTGGGTGTCACAGACAGGGCAGTCACACAGGGCTTTCCCTTGGGTGTCACAGACAGGGCAGTCACACAGGGCTTTCCCTTGGGTGTCACAGACAGGGCAGTCACACAGGGCTTTCCCTTGGGTGTCACAGACAGGGCAGTCACACAGGGCTTTCCCTTGGGTGTCACAGACAGGGCAGTCACACAGGGCTTTCCCTTGGGTGTCACAGACAGGGCAGTCACACAGGGCTTTCCCTTGGGTGTCACAGACAGGGCAGTCACACAGGGCTTTCCCTTGGGTGTCACAGACAGGGCAGTCACACAGGGCTTTCCCTTGGGTGTCACAGACAGGGCAGTCACACAGGGCTTTCCCTTGGGTGTCACAGACAGGGCAGTCACACAGGGCTTTCCCTTGGGTGTCACAGACAGGGCAGTCACACAGGGCTTTCCCTTGGGTGTCACAGACAGGGCAGTCACACAGGGCTTTCCCTTGGGTGTCACAGACAGGGCAGTCACACAGGGCTTTCCCTTGGGTGTCACAGACAGGGCAGTCACACAGGGCTTTCCCTTGGGTGTCACAGACAGGGCAGTCACACAGGGCTTTCCCTTGGGTGTCACAGACAGGGCAGTCACACAGGGCTTTCCCTTGGGTGTCACAGACAGGGCAGTCACACAGGGCTTTCCCTTGGGTGTCACAGACAGGGCAGTCACACAGGGCTTTCCCTTGGGTGTCACAGACAGGGCAGTCACACAGGGCTTTCCCTTGGGTGTCACAGACACAGGCGGCACACAGGGCTTTCCCTCGGGTGTCACAGACAGCCCCCGTTTCCAGGGAAGTGCACAGCTTGGCCATGGATCGGGTTACAGCAGCCAGAGACAGGACTGCACCACACGAATTTGCAGCACAATGGAGCCCATGCAGACAGAACAGCTCTCAGTGGTGCCAGAAACAAAATGAACCCGGAAGGGTGGAGAGAAAACAGTAGAACGATGTCAGGAGAAACAGGAGCTGTATTACTTCACAGAAACACAAAACCACATAAAATTCCATCCAGAGCCAGTACCAAACAACCCCAAAGGTGGGAAATTATCTTCCACATCTGGAAGAGCAGCCACATGACCTCAGGAGGCTCAAGAGAGTCCAAATTCAGTTCTTTGCCACTGTTCCTCAGCCTAACCTCCTTCAATCTGCTTTGTAAGATGGAGCAATCCCAAATGGCTCCTATTTTGCAGTTCCCAGACCCTCCTCCAGTCCTTGCATTCCCCCCAAGCTGCCTCCCAGCAGTAATTAAGAAAAGCAAACCTGTTCATTACGCAGACCAAATTATTCATTCTTTTTCCAGGGATCCATCTAATGCTCCTCAGGGCTGGGAGGCTGGAACTGATAAATTTGAAAATGCCTGTTCTAAAATTCCCTCTTTCTGTCACAAAATTCATGCAAAGCACTCAGTGACAACTCTACTTGTAGCAGCTTTTAGTTTTGAACAGAAACAGCTCCTAGCTGCTTGCTGGAGCAGCACAGCAATAGCAGAATTAGGCAGCCCAGTATATTCCAAACAATTTGAGCTCTAAATGAATGTCAAGGCCAAGAGGATGTTTTTCTTAGCGGAAGAAATACAAGCATCCTGGATTTTGTTCTCCTGCTAATAGGTATAAAGAAGAATAAACAGCTGCTTTTTGTTTTCCCAAAAATATTTGCATTAAGAAGATCTGCAGATTCATTTTGAAATTGATGTCATATCTTTTTTCAAATGAAGACCAGCTGTTTGCTTTGCCTGTTTATAGCAGGTCATGTTTCAGGGATTTTGTGTTGTTTGTTTATTAAGATGTGGGACCAGACAGCTGCACTTTGGTGTGGGGAGTGGATCCCAGAAGGTCCATGACTGTCACCACCATCCCACCTTCTGCTGGGACTTGTGGAGAGGCTGACACCAAATGCAGCAAATTCAGGGTTGTTCCCAAGTGCTGTGGCAGGCTACCTGTGCCTCAGGCATTTTCCAAACCTGCTGGCATGGATCACCCACCTACAGGAAAGAGCACTCCAAAGGGCATTACCCCTCTCTAAAAGGAGGGTCTGTAAACAAAGGAAGCAAACAATGATGTCAGTTGACATCTTAATGGCCCAACAACATCAGATTCATGTGCAATTAATAACAAAGCTTTTGATCCTGCAATCAGCAGCTCTAAAATCCATGTGCTTTCCCTGTACATTTGATTACATTCGAGGAAGCAAAAGGATAAACACTTATTAGCATTACAAAGTATTTTTCACATTCAGCCAGAACTTCCTGAAGCATTTGTGGTCCAGCACGATGTGGTTTTTATTTTATCCTCCTGCATGTGTGGTGAAATGCTATTTATTTTGTTTATTCCAGAATTTATCCAGGACCAGAACATGCTGAGGAACAAGGTCTGAGAGAAAACCTTCATGCTTCACTGAATAGTCATTTTTTGTAATAAAGAAACATCTTGACTTTTTTTTTTTTCTTTTTTTTTTTCTTTTTTTTTTTTTTTTGTCAGATTGCCCTTTTTCTTTCATGGCACTTGAAAGATATGTAAACTTTTATTAGGAGTTCTCATAAATTGAATTTATTGCTGCAAGAGTCTTCCAGCAATGGTAAAGTTTAGCTTGCTGGGTTTTATTAGTCAGAGTCAGTAAAACAGCAGCATCACTTGGTTTGAGGCTGAAAACCAAGTGTTTCTTGGAAACTAATATAGGAAAAAGGTACCTACAACACTACCCAATGTCTTGGAATTCTATGTTCAAGCCACAGATAGTTCTCACTATGGAGATCTTTGTACACAGTGTCAAAATAGCACACAAACAATAAAAAAGTCCCCCATCCTGAATCCAAAGCAGCTTTGCTGAGCGTATTCTTGGAATTTAAAAGTTTTTAGAGTTACCCCATTTCCTGCACAAACTGATGAGTAACTCCAAATACCAGGTTTAATGAAAAACAACATATCACCCAGTTAGTGTGAGGTTTGAGGCATTCCCCTCCCTGCACTAAGAATGTTGAACCAGACTTTTTCCCACTCCACCAGCACCCAAGCAGATCTGCTCCTTTGCTAAGTGGAAAGGATAAACCCAGCAGCAGCCCAAGGTGTCCATACACTGCAGGACTGCTGGGAGCCCTCGTGTCCAGCACATCCCACTTAGCTGCATATCCTGGGACACTGTCCAGTGCTCTTCTTGCAGCTGCTCCTTTAACTTTGTACTTTCAGCTCAGAAAACTTGAGAGTCTTTAGCCTGAGCAAAGAGAGTATTGAGGGCATTCTTGTCAAGCTTGGTCATTAACTAGCAATAATGTCTGTGGCTTTTCATTAAAAAAGAATCAAGGAGAAGCTGATTAAACACAGCAGAAAGAAAGAAAACTTTCCATTCCCTTACTTTTTCCTTGACACGTTGCACTTCATTTGAAGCCTGCTAATATACCAGCCAAAAGAATTGTAAGGGCCTGCCTGGATTCTTTCTTAATACAATGGTCACGGTTCAGTAGTTAGAATCTGTATGGAATTAGCCAGAGACATGGACAAATGGAAAAACATACTAAAAGGCTAAAAACCAGCACTTGTTCATGGGCTTATTCATTAGAAAATCTCATCAATACAGCACAAGTTTTCTCTTTTTACTATTCTAAAAAATTATCACAAAATAGTACACAGAAAATAAAGACACAAAATGTCAGAGCACTGCTTTTGCCTGGAATTTCAGAGTTGGCAAAAACTTGGGTCAGTGTTTCCATGCAAGTGCTTTCCTGCCGAGCTTTTTGGGGCAAACTTCATGTTCACAGCAAAAGCAGCCTAGAGCAGAATTAGCACAAGGAGCTGTGACACATCTTGTCCCACTTCTCCAAGTTGTGCTTCAGCCAGCCATACCTGACAGCTGGAACCAGCAGCACCACACACTGAATCCAAGCAGAGTGGTGTGGAAATCCAGCAGCAGCAGCACAGAATGTGCTCCTGAACGTGGATGTGATCCCCATGGGAAGCCTGAGGGATGTTGCACTGCAGCACAAGCTGTCCCTCCTAATGCAAGTGAGGATTGCTCACCCCACAGCATCCAACTGCCCTTCACAGAAAATCAATAAGGACAGCACAGGAGACTTAATGGAGTTGCTGGCACCTTTCCCATTTCAGGGCAAAGTCCTGCTGAGGAGGGGTTTCTTTCTCCTCAGACTTTTTTTTTGTTGGTGTTGTTGCTCAGATAACTAAAAGGTTTTCAAAGAGAGAAAGAAACATCAGTGTCTGTTGGTGAATGTGGCTTATGTTTGGAGGAAAAACCCAACACACCAGACTGGAGATTGAGATCTGGAGGTTCCCACCCAGGTCTGAGCTCTCTGTATCATGAAAGAATTGTTCTGGAAGCACAGGAAACAGGGAGCGGGGGCCCACACTGAGGCTGTGTCAACCATTACAAGCAGATAACTCCTACACTGCTGCCTTCCTGTGCAGATCTTGGCAGAAAAATAAATAAAAAATATATGTGTGGGAGGTGATTCATGTTATTTAAATCTATGGGAGAAGCTGCATGTGTATTCTTTGGAAAGGAGGAGAGCAAGAGTGTATTAGTATCCAGTGGGGATATGACACAAGGGATGCTTCAGGAGTCTTTGAAAAAATAGGATAAGAGGTGATATTCTCATGCTGGGGAAGGTTCAAGGTTTAAAGGAAACTTGCTGGGAACTTTTGAAACAAAAACTCATCCTGCTCTATGGACAAGCCAGAGGTAAGAGTTGAAAGGAAGCTGTTCTGTTGAAAAGGGTTTGAATTCCAGTGGTGCAGTTCCAGAGGAGCTCCTCACCTCCAAGTGCAGCTGTGGAACCACAGAACCCTTCTGGCTGGAAAAGCCCTCCCAGACCACTGGAGACCAATCCCCACCTTGTCCCCAGCCCAGAGCACTGACTGCAATGTCCAGGCCTTCCTTGGACACCTGAAGGGATGGACACTCCAAACCTCTCTGGGCAGCTCCAAGGCCTGAGCACCCTTTCCAAGCAGAAATTCCTGCTGATGTCCACCCTGAGCCTGCCCTGGCCCAGCCTGAGGCCGTTCCCTCTCCTCCTGTCGCTGTTCCCTGGAGCACAGCCTGACCCTCCGGCTGTCCCCTCCTGTCAGGAGCTGTGCAGAGCCACAAGGTCCCTCCTGAGCCTCCTTTTCTCCAGCTGAGCCCCTTCCCAGCTCCCTCAGCCCCTCCTGGTGCTTCAGCCCCTTCCCCAGCTCTGTTCCCTGCCCTGGACACGCTCCAGCCCCTCCAGGTCCTTGTTGTGCTGAGGGCCCAGAACTGCACACAGCACTGGGCATGCCCTCTGCATGGATCTTCCACTGGACACCAAGGAAGCAGCAATTTTGAAGAATAATAATGGTACTTATTCACTGAGATCCCCAGTCCCACCTCTGCCTTATCTGATGGCCTTCTGCTGCAAACCCAGCCAGTGTCTAACCCCTAGTGAGCAGTGCTTAACTCCACACATGACTCCACCAGGTATATTGTTAACAAAACTGGGGATACAAGGGCTGAACCTATTCAACTAGAAGGTGACTTCCACCAGAGAATTACAGGGCTCATTTTGAAGCTTTCTGGCTTCATTTCCTCCATTTATTCATACACTTATTTACTGGAAAGGAGGAGAGGAGAGCACAAGGGAGGGAAGGAATCCTGGGACAGCACATGCTGGGCTGTAAAATGCAAAGAAGGTTTTTGAAAACCGCATGTTCCAAACATCACCTTGGAGCCCCACAATAATAAATACTTGATATTACACTGCAAGGGTCCAACTGCCAAGTAACTATAGCAATGAAAAGAAAAGCCTGTCTTTGGACACATTCCCTCCTGCCTTAATTTTTCCCTGGGGTGGGGAAGGGGTACAGAGAATGTGCTCTAGATCCTTAATGGATAACGTTTTCCAGAGCCCCCTCTGATCACTCAGTGACTCTGGGATTTAAAAGCAGCAGAGTGATTTCTCCAAAGGAAGCTGAACATTCAAAACAATTACCCTGAACTATTCCATCCCCTTGGAAAGGGTTTAATGCACCAGGTCCTGAGGTGAGGCTGTCAGGATCCATTGAGACACAGCAACACAACCCTTTATGAAGTGCCTCGCAGTCCAGCTGCTCACCAGTGCTTCCTTCATCCCAAAAATCAGTGTTTTCCAGGGAGCCCAGCAGCCTGAAAATGAGTAAGTGTGAAGTGAGACTACACTGGCCTGCACTGAGCATTTGTTTTTGCCAACAGAAGACCACATTTCTGGGCTGGTTTTAAGCACTGCCTTCTGGAATTTAATTTTCAGGATGAAAATTAAAGAATTATTTTGGAGGCTTCAAGTTATCTTTCCCCTCATGATATTTTCCAGAGCTGTTTGGAAATGGGAGGGTGGAGCTGGCACTGCTGGGGCAGTTTCAGAAAGCACTTCTGTAGCTATTTGGGGAAAAAAACTGCTGGATCATGTTGGTATTTTTATAAGTAACTCGATGAGTGGTTCTATTTTGGATACCAACTATGCAGCAATGCAGACTGATTTGAGCAAATTGCAGGGGGAGGAAGAGAAAGGAAGATCCCCTTCCAGAACAAGGGCTGCCTTCTCAGGGAAACCTCTTGAACCTCCAGGGGCTCAGTTTAAACAGTGCCTTTTAAGATAAGTTCTTAAAAGCCATTTAGATTTTATGAGGAAGAGAAAATAATGGTTAATTGTGATTGTTCTGTGATATGTGAAGGAATTGAACCAAACCAATGAAAAGTAAAACCTTCCCATCGTGACTCTAGATCAAAACCAGTTCTACTTTTAAGATAAAGACCTATACCAACAATAACTTAATGAAATTTTTGCCAACTTCAATAATTTTTCACTTCTGTTTGTGGCTTTAGTCTGTAATTGACTTGCAAAAGAACTTCCAGTTTTATGAAGCAGCAGAGCCTCCTCCACCTCGATAAAGAAAATTGAACTTGAAGAAATCAAAACAATAATCACAGCTAAAATTGCCTCCCAGTGTGAATGGGGACATTAGCACTTGACAAACACCCGGGTTTTTTTTTCCACAAGGCTTCTAGAGAATGCCTTCCAGGCAGCCTACACACCATTTGCAACACAAGAATTCATTCCAGTGGGTTTGGAGACATCCAGAGTTGTTGCTGGCTCCACAAAGCTGCAGCAGGCTGCAGGATGGGCTGAAGCCCCACAAGGCAGTGAGAACTCTCCCCATAACCTCCTCCTCTAAAATTAGGAAATAGATAGGGGTGAAATTCCTCCCTGTGAGGTGGGCAGGCCCTGGCACAGGGTGCCCAGAGCAGCTGTGGCTGCCCCTGGATCCCTGGCAGTGCCCAAGGCCAGGCTGGACAGGGATTGGAGCACCTGGGACAGTGGAAGGTGTCCCTGCCATGGCAGGGGGTGGGACTAGATGAGCTCTAATATTCCTCCCAACCCAAATCATTCTGCAGTTCTGTGATTCTCATTATCAACCTATTGTGTGGAATAACTTCTTG